AAACGCCCCAATAAACAAAGGATTTGACAAATTGAAAAAAAAATAAGGATGAAATGTTTTGTTTTTCACTTATATCATGCAATTCCCATTCCTCTTTTAAAAAATGAAAAGAAAAATTGCACATTTATTTACATATGACTGACCAAACACTGATTTTACGCAACAGCTATTACATTAAATTCAAATGGAAAATAATTTGAAGCATGAAGCATTGCTTAATTTTTCAGAAATGAATAATATGTAATAGTATGTATTATGCAAAGAAAAATTATAATAAAATTTTGTTACCTTGCCTTTATTAATAGTTAAATTGTGGCACTTTCAAGATATGGACCATTTTTTGTGTTTTTATACACAATTCTATACAAAAACGCCCCAATAAACAAAGGATTTGACAAATTGAAAAAAAAATAAGGATGAAATATTTTGTTTTTCACTTATATCATGCAATTCCCATTCCTCTTTTAAAAAATGAAAAGAAAAATTGCACATAGCTTTTATTGTAGTGAAAACGGTTCATATCAAAACACAAAAATTGGACTTATTTTATCCAACTAGAAATTTTATCAGTCGCAGTGGGTTTACACATCAACAAATGACTGTAAAACTGTATTAGTTTCTGAAAAAAAATTATAATTTACAATTAAAATATTTTTTCTCCATCTTTTATTTTTCTCCTAAACACACAAAGTTGTTTTACTTGGAGATGAGGGGCTGTGTGTTAGAAAACGTCAAAAAATAAATATTGGGGAGGGGGCTGGTTGCGTTTAAAGGATCCATAGAGTTATTGTTTTAAACTCAAGCTAATCTATGCATATTCAAGTCCTCAATAAAGAAAGATGAGTACTGAGTAAGACGTCGCGCATATTGGGGTTTGAAATTGCGTAACTTGAAACACAACAAACGACATGTGTTAGTATTTTTGGGTAATTTTATCGTTTTGTCTACATAGATTTCTCTGCCTTTGTACAATGATTCTATAATGTCCTGTGATGATGTCATATTTCATTTATCAAAAAATTAACAATTTACTGGCCAAGTCCGTTTTGAAAATGAGAACATGGTCAGTCATTTAATTACAAAAATATGCTTAAGGATTGATATAAATTACATTAATTTACCTTATATCTCATTTTTCAATAAATTTATTCCATCTTTCGTAATTTATGATAAATTTTAAGAAGTGCTGATTGAGCATCTACCTGTAAAGAGGACGCGATTTCTATTAATTTTTCAGATTTTTATCTGTTTAACAAATGTAGTGATAATTTCAGTTACAAAGAAATTGAAGTGAAAGTACAGATTTAAAACAGGAAACTGATTTCAGACAGTACCCAGTGCTTAAAGAACAAACTAATGAATAGCTTGCATTTAAATGAATAGAAGGGGCGTCGCGATTTTTTTTAATCCTTATACATTAAAAGTATTACACACAGGTCCATCGTTTAGTGGAACTCTTCAACTCCAGGGAAGGACCAAATAAAGTTCAAACTACGTGGCGTATGACCTTAAACTCCGATTTCTTGTGTTTGTTTACATGAATTCTCGTTATGTTTCACTTTCAATCTGCTAATCCATGATCAACAGTTATGACGACACGGGTTTGGTATTTAACTCTTGTGATAAATACAGAGACCCAGAAAGGACAAAATTCTGTTTATATTATGCCTCTGCATATTTTGATGCAATATTTACAACCTCAAATCAATCTCTATATATGTCTAAACTTCACGACATATACCTTACTATGACGTCATTTCATATAGACAAATAGAATTTTTGGTTGTAACTAGGGATGTCAACGAATATTCGAATATTCATTCGATGAGTTGATATTCAAAAAAATTAATATCCCCAAAATAATTATCATTATCCCTTGTTTTTTATTAGATTTGCATAAACCCTCACAATACGTCCCCAAACACAAAATCAAATTTATAATGCATTCTAGTACTCGGCACACCTCGGCCAATTCGTATCGCATCTTACACAGCAAGCCAAGGTTTGTCGATGTGCTTCTAAGTTGATCAAGTAGTTTAATAAAAGAACCTTAACAAAATCTGCTGATTTAGAACTATTTTCCTGTTACGTGTTTACTCTGGCTAATAAACGAAAACGATGCTTATTGCCTCGCTATGACGTCATACAGGTCCGAACTAACCTTTAGAGCCGGTATCATTCGACCCAAATAGTTCCAATAATAACAATTACCAATGTAGATAAGCACCTGTCTTGGCTTGGAATAACCACTTGTCAAACATATGGCCAGGCTTATACATGCTGGATAATTTTTTATGTAAACAAAATCGTATTATATTCTCGCTGTTGTATATCGTTTTTCCTTGTGGTTAGAAGTTTTGACCTATTCTTTGCAATATACCTATGAGAAAAAATATATTTCGATAATCCCAAACTTCCTTGAATTATCCTATGAGAATTTTCTTTTAGGAAAAACCTCAACTGAATTTGGTATATTTTCCAAAGAGGTTAAAAATTTTAGCTATTTTATTAGAATTTTTTTTCTAAGCTCTACTGATCAGGGACCAGGAGAATGTAAACAGTGTTTCAATATTCTACTTTTACAGTTTTTGGTTTGAATTCAACGTTGCTTGAAACACAAGTAGAATCCACTAAGATATATAATTATGAATATCGGTTTTTTATTTTGATCAACGGTGTCGGCATGGTTAATTTTAAAATGCCAGTCCTCTTGCAGTTTTAGTCTGAGTCCAATATAACTAAAAAAATAGCAAAATATTTTAAAGGAATTTTGATTTTGTTGAGGGGTGTTGCAATGGATACTAAAAAAATAATAATGAGAAATACTATCTAAATGCAAGTCCTCGTACAGTTTAATTCTGATTTCAATATAACTCGGCAAGTAGATTACTTGTAGGTACATTATTTTCTTGACAGTTTTTTTTTATTTGGTGAATGATGTTGCAATGGTTACTCGAATTGTATTCTCTGTAAAATTCTTTTAAAAGGTTACTCATATAGTTGTAACAATTTTGCCACACCAGACTTTATTAAGGATCATTACTCTATTTATTGCTAAAAAGATATTTTTATTTATAGCTATTTATTGTTATATATCTCAGTTGATTCGTAACACAAGAGCATGCACTACGTATGAACAATTCCTAAAAAGAGGTAAATTATTGACAAGCAAGTTGATGAATATCATCAGCCTCGTTTATTCTATGGTCGATACAATGACTCTGTCAGCAAATACTAATTATCATTGCCTCAAATGCTGACTGACGTTTTTCATACCAATTGTTTGTCCATTATATATACACTGAATTGACAACAGATTTTTTCCGTCATTTCCTGATCGTGACAAGGAGCTCACGGCGGGTGTGACCAGTCAGCAGTGGATGCTCACTCCTCCATGTCACGTGATCCCATCTCTGATTTTCCGGAGGTCTGTGTTTGCTCTGCTTCCATTTTATATTGATTATTGGACTTTGAGACTGAATACTGTTCGTTATCTCTACATCCTTCATCTATTAGTTATCAATTTAATATGACTATGACAAATTGAGTAATACATTAAAAAATATGACTCAATTTAGTCAGATCACGCTTATTTAGTTTTAATTTTCATATTTACTAAATGCATAATAGTTTGATCTGCGTCTATATCAAACAAGTGTTTGACGTCATCTCTATCAGTACTGTACAGCGAGATCAAGTTGGCTTTGATGGTACATTCAATTAGTGTTATAATGACAAAATAAGTTACACATTAATTTATGTTTAAAATAACTACAAAAAATCACAGTATGTAAGAGTGTTATGATTAAAAAGTTATTATTGATTCGCCGAGATTCATTTGACAAGCAGAGTTTCACTGTGACGTCATAATCAATTTCCCGAAGCTTTGCATAGACTGATAAACCATTTGGTTTCCTTAACCTAGATGGGTTTGAGTCAAATTCTGACTGACGTTTTATACTGTTTGTTAGCCAATTATTTATAAACTAGTAGCACACGGCGAATTTTGACCGGTCGGCAGGGGATGCTCTCTCCTACGTGGCACCAGATCCCACCTCTACTGTTTTGTAGGTCCATGTTTGCTCTGCTCCTGTTTGGCATTGTTTTATGGACTTTTGATCTTAAATACTGTTCGTTATCTCCATATGTTTCATTGTTCTAACTCGTCGATGATACACTTTGAGTTTGTCATTTTTAGTAGTTCTGCATTTGTTACAGCCGAAAGATCCTACAAGGTTTGACGAAGACAGATGTGTGAAAAGTGGACAGTGCTCTCATGTCTGCCTCTCTGACCCTTCATCATCCACTTTCATACAATAGATTCGATTTCTTATAGCTGTCATATAATTTTTATTCTGATATCTTATTTTGATTTCCTGATTGGTTATATTTTTTTTAAGGATATTCTTGTTTTTGCTAGCCTGTTCTTGATATCTTTTTGAGTTGGATCTTCAATACTAACTATTGCCTCAAGGTGGACAAATATATCAACTTGTTCAATCCTTTACTCCCTTACTTACGCAGCAATTTTATACCTTCATCACCTGCATACGGAGTTATTATCTCTCAGCTGATTCGATACCCAAGAGCATGCTCTACGTATGTTCAATTTAAAAACGAGGTAAATTTTGACAAACTAGTTGATAAAACAAGAATATTAGCAGTCTCATATGAAATCATAATTTCGAAAGTTCTTTGTTCGATACAATGAACTTGTCAGCAATAACAATTTATCGTTGAGTAAAATGCTGACTGACGTTTTTCAGCATCAGCTGGATTTGACCGGTTGGCAGGGGATGCTCACTCCAACATGGCACCTGATTCCACCTAGCTCTGATTTTAGGGAGGTCTGTTTTTTTCAGCTCCTATTTTGTATTGTTTTATGGAGCTTGAATACTTTTTGCTATATCCAAATGGGTACAGCCCACTAATTATTTTTAGAATCGGTAGGAGAAGAAAGTAGCGCAGAAAAAATTACAAGTTCCTTAACTTGCAGACTTGCATAAAAAAAATGTGCAGATGTACTAAACTGAGCCTCACACTTGTTGATAAGGAGTATCTTTCCTACCAAAAAAGTTTGGCAAATGTAATTCATCAAGAAGATCAGCCGAATTATTTTGTGTATTATAACGCCAGTTAGAACTCTGAATTTCCCCTACTTTCACTTTCATTTTTAGAGGTTGCCGCAGACAGACGCATTTTGCCGGAAAACGAATCTGACATGCCACCTCGAGATTTTGACCAAGGAAAGACAAGTTGATGTGCTTTGATTTGAGGGGTCACTCACTGCTGAACGAAAATTAGGGACATCGCTTTGAGAAGAAACGTTAACATTGTCGCCTATGGGAAAACAATTAGTGGACTGTACCCATATTGGGAAGCCTATAAGTAAGTGAAAAATGTCATAGATCTTGACTTTATTTCAAAGTTGGTGTTTTCTATCATTTCTAATTGTTCAAACTTATGAAAAAAACAATTCTTATTTTGTTGATACACAATTTTCAAACAAATTAATTCATAAATAAATTTTCTAGACCCCCCCCCCCCCCCCTCCGGAACAGACTTGTATCACCCATTGTTTACACATGTATCGTAAATTAAATGTGTATCGATTTGTATCATTTGTTTATTCAGAATCACAAATATATATTTAGATGAAAGAGTAATTATGTGGAAGTACATGCTCCACTGTCTTTTATTTTCATACACAAAAATTCACAATTTAGGTCGGAATCGGTATTCAATCAGGGTCAAGGTCAAAGTGAAAGTAGACTTAGCAGAAAGTTATCAAAACTGTTCAGTGCTGTGTCTAGCAGTATAAAGGTGATAGGCATTTGTATTTTACACAGAAGGTAAGAGGTATGCCTTAGTACAGTATTTGTAAATTAGAATTTAATGTTTTTGGAACAGGATGATCGACACGTCACATACACGACATACATCATTGCAAATCAGTCGCTCGGTCAAGCTGGGTGCAGTTGTCTGGGAGTTAAACGATGTGTGTGAATATGCTCGTTAACTGATTTTTTTCTCATATTTTTAGCAATTGCATTACAAGTATTTGTTGAATGTACAATTATTGTCAGTTAAACATGCCTTTTACTTATTCTGCTGAATTAACTTGCCAGTGTTAACATGGTGATTTCAAGTGGGAGCAAATTTTTAATTTTTAATTAATTACAAGTTATGGGCATAAAAGGAATATGGTAAAATTGTATGTGTGGAATGTCTATGTGTCTGTCTGTCTTCAAATGTGAATGTCTGAGGTGTTTTTGAGCCTGATAATTATTGTGCCATTTATTGAATTGATTTCTTTTTAGGGTCATGGTCATTGGTACAGGAAAACCATGAGGTTCATGTAGGTGGTGTTTAAAACTATTGGCCAGCAAACACACACCCATTTGAAAACATCTTGAAACTTCACGGTCACCAGCAAAAAGTGGCAGTTGGCAAAATGTGTAAGTTCAACTTTAAAAAAAAAAAAAAAATTTATTAAAGTGTGTGTGGGGGGGGGGGGGGGGTGCACATATTAAATAGGTGATAAAATTGTGAAAGTATTCATGTTTAGCTAATTTGTACGTGCACTGCTATATATTTTGCAGCTCATATAGATTTTTTTTCTTGTATAAGAATTTCAAAGTAATTAGATCTACATCTTTGTTTTGTAAATAACGCATTATTTAGATTACACGAATAGAAGAATTGAAATTTCTTAAATATTTGACTGTCAAAATTACGCGATTTGTCAGGAAATTCAAAATTTTGTCTCATTTTCCTACAAATTACAAAATGGTTACCATGGAAACAAAACAACTTTAGAAGATTATTTATTTAATCAGGTAAACCACATATTTTTATTTTTTATAGTTAAAATGATTAGATTAGCACTGATTTTGTCTTAAATGAAAAGTACGGGAAAAGTGATGATACACATGTATTGAGCTATCCATTATTATGATGTCATTATGACGTCATAGATGAGTAAATTTGCATTGGCATAAGAATTGCTTTGAAACAAATGATTGTATATAGGAGTATAAAGGCTTATAACTTTTTTATTCATTGACCAAATTTCATGAATGATACATCAATGGACAGGAAATAATCAGTACTTTCTTGCTTTACTACTTTCGGGGTAATTGTTAACTTAATTTTTTTGTCATTTCTGGAGAAACTATGAATTATAGGGTGAAAAATGGTCATATTTTGTGCGGAAATACATTAATTTTTTAAAATAAGAGAAACTGACCCATTTAAGTGCTTGATTATGATTTGACTAATTGTATTTAAAGTTATGAAGGAGAGTAAGAATGGTATAAATGTGTTAATAGGCTAACATTTGACTTAAAACTTGGGTGCAGTTTTGGCTAGATTGGAGCATTTTTTAAGGATATTACACATAGAACTGTACATGCTGTAAAATCTTAATTAATGGTTGAATTTTCATGAAACTTGGCATGTTATCTGTACTTATGCTCTAGATTGACAAACAGTGTGAAATATTGTAAAATCTAAAAAATGCTTTTTCATATTGGGTACATCCCACTAATTATTTTTAGAATCGGTAGGAGAAGAAAGTAGCGCAGAAAAAATTACAAGTTCCTTAACTTGCAGACTTGCATAAAAAAAAATGTGCAGATGTACTAAACTGAGCCTCACACTTGTTGATAAGGAGTATCTTTCCTACCAAAAAAGTTTGGCAAATGTAATTCATCAAGAAGATCAGCCGAATTATTTTGTGTATTATAACGCCAGTTAGAACTCTGAATTTCCCCTACTTTCACTTTCATTTTTAGAGGTTGCCGCAGACAGACGCATTTTGCCGGAAAACGAATCTGACATGCCACCTCGAGATTTTGACCAAGGAAAGACAAGTTGATGTGCTTTGATTTGAGGGGTCACTCACTGCTGAACGAAAATTAGGGACATCGCTTTGAGAAGAAACGTTAACATTGTCGCCTATGGGAAAACAATTAGTGGACTGTACCCATATTGGGAAGCCTATAAGTAAGTGAAAAATGTCATAGATCTTGACTTTATTTCAAAGTTGGTGTTTTCTATCATTTCTAATTGTTCAAACTTATGAAAAAAACAATTCTTATTTTGTTGATACACATTTTCAAACAAATTAATTCATAAATAAATTTTCTAGATCCCCCCCCCAGGAACAGACTTGTATCACCCATTGTTTACACATGTATCGTAAATTAAATGTGTATCGATTTGTATCATTTGTTTATTCAGAATCACAAATATATATTTAGATGAAAGAGTAATTATGTGGAAGTACATGCTCCACTGTCTTTTATTATTTTCAATACACAAAAATTCACAATTTAGGTCGGAATCGGTATTCAATCAGGGTCAAGGTCAAAGTGAAAGTAGACTTAGCAGAAAGTTATCAAAACTGTTCAGTGCTGTGTCTAGCAGTATAAAGGTGATAGGCATTTGTATTTTACACAGAGGGTAAGAGGTATTCCTTAGTACAGTATTTGTAAATTAGAATTTAATGTTTTTGGAACAGGATGATCGACACGTCACATACACGACATACATCATTGCAAATCAGTCGCTCGGTCAAGCTGGGTGCAGTTGTCTGGGAGTTAAACGATGTGTGTGAATATGCTCGTTAACTGATTTTCTTCTCATATTTTTAGCAATTGCATTACAAGTATTTGTTGAATGTACAATTATTGTCAGTTAAAATCTTAATTTACAACATTAAATTAATTTATGTAAAACATCTGACATGGCAAGAAGAACAACTCCGATTTTTCTCTTCGCCGGTTTACATTCCTGTAATCTGATAATCTCTTATCAGCAACTGACCAGATTCAGCTAATTTTGCGCACGCCTTCATTCTTCCAGCGTGCATTGCTTTGTCAACATACATTCGCCAGTCATCTTGATTTGTTTTTGTTGTGAGCCATTCAATCACTTGTTATCGCAGGTACATAAGTCTACTCTGTTAGAAGAATTTCTAATTCAATCTATTGTTGGATTATCCTTTATATAGGTACATTGGTGAGATTCTTTGGATGCTAAAAATTTTGTGTATGCTTTACAATATTTGACGGATTTTGTGTTTGACTGGCGAAATACGTTAATACAATGCTATGGAGACCCTGTTTCATGCGCTCATCATCGTAATTACAACTTAGCAGGAGTAAATGAAATGTTGTGAACGTTTACGTATGTTGACTTGAATTTCTTTGTTCTGCTTCGCGCCAGTTTGCCGGTCTTTGAACCATGAATGACCTAGTGAACTTTGTGGCTATTTATATATTGCCCAGCATCCAAGATGCATTGCGGTAAACAGTCAAAATGGCGTATGTTTTGATTGCTGGAAGTTCACATGTTAAAAGATTTGAGCACTATGTAAATCAAAATCGAGAATTTCAGAACTTGAATTTAAATCCAAACATTTTTGTAACATTTTATGGTATAAGTGGAGGAAAGCTGACAAATAATTCCCACTTGCAGGCGTTAGAACAAAAACTTAGGCACGTTTCCCCGGACTTTCTCATCTTACATGTAGGTGGTAACGATCTGGACACAACTTCGGCTGATGAAACATATGCTTATGAGTTATGTTTACGACTTTGTTGTATTGCGGAAACATTTGCCCGTCGTTTCAACATTAAAAAGACAATTGTTTGCCAACTGATGCCGAGATATCGGACACGGGTATTAGATATAAATAGTTATAATGAACTAGTAATTAAATTCAATAGAATACTGAAGAGAGAGCTGTTAGGAAAAAACTGTTTGCAGTACTGGAATATAAAAGGTGTTAAAAACAGCCAGCGTCCAGTATTTTGCGATGGAGTCCATCTGAACAACGAATGGGGCATGCGAATTTACTACAGAAACTTGCGTGGTGCAATTATCCAATGTTTAAAATAAGATTGGTAGCAGGGACATCTACATCGTATGGTCCGTCAACATAAGCAGCACATTTTCATTCAGGTTCACTTGCAACTAAAAAAGATAAGTCTGTTCAACATCTGCACGATCTCAAGCAAATTATGAATTATAATATGTAATGAGTAGTCTTATTTATACGGTTAGTGGACAATGGTTTACAATTATGAATTGTAATCAGTATGTCTGCGTTTTATTACTGCATATTGTATTTGAGATCTCAATTATATGAAATGTCATAAACATAGATATAGAATACGCTACTTAAACTGTGTACAGTACAAGTGGTAACATTTTATGTTGGTATCAGATACACTGTGAGCTGGCACAGTTGTAAACGTACATTCCCGAAAGTATGAGTTTGCACAGTGAGCTGGCACTAATGCATCTCATATATATGTTGATACACGTACGGTTTAGAATGTGCTATGGCACATACTTTATGAATTTGTATGTACGCACGTGTATCATGTTTCTATGTTCGGGCACTATGATAATGTACGATATGTTCTGATACAAATATGATTTGTGTGCAAACACTTTCAGTTACTCACTTGTGCATATGCGTACATTAAGTAGTTATGATGTCTTCTTTTATTCAACGAATTCAATTGAGTACGAACGCTTTCAACTATGGCTATGATATGAGCATGATGAGCATAGACATGTATGTTGGACTCAATCATTTTTGTCAGGCATTTTTTTTTTAAAGCCATGTTTACACGAGCGCTTGGTACATCTTCATTGTGCCAGGGCAAGCGGATCTGTAATCAGGCGAAGATTCCTGACGGGAAGTTGGTTTCAGTTTACAACAAGCATGTGATTTGTATGATATCACTTAAGTTTCGTATTTTATTCAAGGTAGGAACATGCCACCTAAGAGAAAGAGGAGTCGGGTGACAAAAGCTGCGGAGCCAACCGATACTCAACCAAAACGCAGCGCACCGTCTAAAGACCTGGAAATCGTGGATACAATCCAAAACGCAATACAAGCAGCCATTCCTGGTATTACGAAGGCGGTAATGGATGAGATATCCAAACAACAGACTAGTACTGACACCGCTATAATGCCAAGTCCTTCAGCGCCTGAGGGGGAAGCGGCCAATGACAGCGCTGTGGAGCCTACGGTTAATCTGGGTATTTCTAACACTTTCCTTGAAGCCCCAGAAAGTATTTCAAAGCCTCTAGCCTTAGGCATTGATTCTAAAATTAAATCAAAAATATGGGCAAACGAGTTCGTCGATTTTGGCACTTTATTAAAGCCAACTGAAAAACACGTAAAATTTTCCATCGAAGAAGGTGATGATGGCTTAACATTTGTAAAGGAAAAATCCACCCCTCTTAAGATTGAATCCATTCCTCAATGGATGAAAGCTTTTCATATATTCGTTAGTATATTTTGCGAGAGGCACACAAATGATGCCACAAAATTGATGAAATATGCGTCTATTGTTCAAAAACTTGCTGACCAGTCTACTGCATCAGCAGCCATTCAGTATGACAAAACTTTTCGTCAATGGAGAGAAATATCTCCAACCAAACTTCCATGGGACCAATTAAACGCCGAATTGTACCAAGAGGCATTGGCATCCGGTATTCAGTCAAAGTTAAAGGGAGTAACACAAAAACCTACTTTTCGTCCCTTACAGGGTACCAAGGGGAGGGCAGGGAATAATAAACTCGTATGCTACAATTTTAATAATTCCGAACAGGGAATTTGTCATAGAAAAGATTGCAGATTCTCCCACACATGCCAACGCTGTGGTGGGGAACACAGTAGAAAAACTTGCCCATCAACCCCAAAACTCCCCAATGCAGCAAACAAAAATAAGCAAAAATCTATCCCCCAAATTGGATCATCAGAAAGTAAACAGTCAACCCTTAAACTTACAAAATAATCCTTTTGATATAGTAACTCCCGTGAATCCTCAACGGTTACAACATTGGCTATCAGATTACAATGAGAGTGACAAAAAATTTTTAGTTGATGGCTTTACAGAGGGTTTTAAAATTCCTTTTCAGGGTGTTCGTGAGCAGAGGTTTTGTAACAACTTAAAATCAGCTGATCAAAATTTATCTATCCTTCAAGAAAAAATAAATAATGAGGTACGTTGTGGTCGAGCAGCGGGACCTTTCAAAAATGCTCCATTCAACAATTTTCAGTGTTCACCATTAGGTTTAGTGCCCAAAAAACAAGAAGGGGAATTTAGAGTAATACATCATTTATCTTATCCCGAGGGACAATCTATAAATGATGGGATTCCGCAGGATATTTGCTCGGTTCAATATCAAACCATCGATGACGCGACTAACTTATTAAAACAACTTGGAAGGGGGGTCTTGTTTGCAAAGACAGATATTGAAAATGCTTTTAAAATCATTCCAGTCCATCCATCAGATCGCGAATTGTTGGGTTTTAGAGTAGGAGGTGGGTTTTATTTCGACAAAACCTTACCAATGGGCCTAAGTTACTCCTGTAACTTATTTGAAAGATTTAGTTCTTCATTGCATTGGGTAATGGAATACCACTACCAATCAAGCTGTGTTCATGTTTTGGACGACTTTCTTTTTATGGGACCAGCCCATTCAAACAATTGTTTGAAATCTTTAGAGAACTTCCTTCAATTATGTAATGACATAGGTATCCCAATTAAGAACGAAAAAACAGTGTATCCCACAACGACAATAACATTTTTAGGTCTAGAAGTCGATTCACTAACTATGGAAGTTAGGTTGCCAAGGGATAAGCTTGATAAGCTAAGAGATGCAATAGATTCGTTTAAGCACAGAAAAAAAGTAAGTCTAAAAGAATTACAATCTTTGATTGGATTACTTAACTTTGCTTGCGCGGCTGTCCGACCAGGTCGCACTTTCTTACGACGGCTAATCGACCTCACAAAAGGCTTAAAGCTACCCCATTTCAAACGGCGTTTGAACACAGAGGCTAGGGCTGATCTTGAAGCTTGGTCTGTTTTCATCAATAGTTTTAATGGTAGGTCATTGATATTAGATGATAGGTGGGAAACCTCTGAAACACTATGTATGTATACGGATGCAAGTGACCTAGGATTTGGTGGTACATTTAAAACAAAGTGGTTCTTCGGAGAATGGCCACAAGAGTGGGGCCAGTTTCACATTACAGTCAGAGAATTGCTTCCTATTGTGATAACTTTAGAACTATGGGCATCTGATTTACGGAACTCCTGTATTAATTTCTATTCAGATAACATTGCAGTGGTATACATCATTAACAAACAAACTTCAGCAGACCCAATAATTATGAAGTTAATGCGTCGTTTCATAGTAAATACATTAAAATACAATATTCTTTTCAAAGCAACACATATTCCAGGTGTACTTAATGTAGCTGCTGATCGCCTTTCTCGTTTGCAGGTCCGGGAATTTCAGGACCTATGTACAAATATGGACCCAGTGCCATCAGCAGTTCACCCAACAATGCTAACACTCTGAAAGATATAGCGACAGCCATTCTGAAGAATTCCCTCGCTCCTACATCAAGGGCAGCTTATGAAAAAACATTTGCTTTTTACGCTGACTTTATGTCAACCTACTTTCCTAATGTCTCTTTACTGCCTCCTACTACTGAGCATTTGGCGCATTTTATAGCTTTTTGTTTTCAAAGTAACATTGCAGCATCAACCTTGAAAACTTACATTTCGGCTCTTAGTTATAATTTCAAAATTCAAGGTTTTGAAGATCCATCACAACAATTTGTAATTCGCAAAATGCTACAGGGATATCAAAAGTTAAAAACAGTTGGTAGTGACACAGGATTGCCCATAACAACGTCAATTCTGAAACAGCTTGTAACTTCTTTAGACAAGTTAGGCATTTCAGCTTATTTATGCAGTATGCTAAAGGCAATGTATTTGCTGGCTTTTCATGCTTTTTTAAGGGTTGGTGAAATAACAGTTTCGTCTTCTACGAACGTTAAAAACGTATTAAATCTGGTCAATGTAAAACTCGTTTCGGATAAACTAAATTCCAGTGAATCTCTTGAGATTACAATGGATAATTTCAAACATAGTGCAGGCAAACATATACCCACGTTGATTCTACAAAGAAACGAATCGGAAGAGCAATTTTGTCCTGTTCAGGCTATTCAGCTATTTCTTAAAGTAAGAGGCCAGTCACCAGGCCCTTTGTTTGCATATCCAAATGGTGATGGGTTACTAAGACAACATTTTACAAATTATTTGCAAATGTCTCTTAAATGGGCAGGGCTAAATACGAGTCATTATAAAGGCCACAGTTTTCGAATAGGAGCTGCGACATGCGCTGCAGCAATGGGAATTTCAGAGGAAAAAATCAAACGAATGGGAAGATGGCATTCCGACGCTTTTAAAAAGTACATAAGAATCCCTGTGCTTCATATTTAGATGAATTTGATCATGGGGTCATGGGTCTCTGATCAAATAGTATAAATTAGTATTTCACCCCTTTTATTTCTTCGCGAACGCATAGGTGAGGGTCAGCAGGTTTTTGAACAGTAGTTTTCCTTTCGGTTAATCTTTATATATGTTGCCGTAGGTAATGACTTTCAGACTTTTGAAATTTAACATTGGGTCATGGGGACATGGGCCTCTGATTCCACAAATGCTAGTGAACTATGGATGAGAGTTTGTTGTCATTTGAAATTTGACAATGGGTCATGGGGACACGGGCCTCTGATTCCACAATTGCTAGTGAACTATGGTGAGAGTTTGTTGTCATTTGAAATTTGACACTGGGTCATGGGGACACGGGCCTCTGATTCCACAATTGCTAGTGAGCTATGGCTGAGAATGTGTTGTCACTTGAAATTAGACACTGGGTCATGGGGACATGGGCCTCTTGACTTCATAACGGGTAATGTAGCCTTGCATGAAAGCATTTTGTTACTTATTGCTGCATGAATAATATGAACAGTTTCGTCACGAGGTTTATGCCCCACCTATGATAATTGGCTTAACAAAATGTATTTGTTAATTTTATGCAAATGTTTTTTATGATTGTGTAATGTTTGTCAATTTGTTTAATTAGTATTTTTGCATGATTTGTCTCGTCATTTATTAGATCAAAATAAATGACAATTTTCAATTCAAACTCTCTTCATTTTGTTTTTACAATATCAAACGAAGCAAAACTATTGTCAGTGTATTTGCATAAACATGCTTTTTACTTATTCTGCTGAATTAACTTGCCAGTGTTAACATGGTGATTTCAAGTGGGAGCAAATTTTTAATTTTTAATTAATTACAAGTTATGGGCATAAAAGGAATATGGTAAAATTGTATGTGTGGAATGTCTATGTGTCTGTCTGTCTTCAAATGTGAATGTTTGAGGTGTTTTTGAGCCTGATAATTATTGTGCCATTTATTGAATTGATTTCTTTTTAGGGTCATGGTCATTGGTACAGGAAAACCATGAGGTTCATGTAGGTGGTGTTTAAAACTATTGGCCAGCAAACACACACCCATTTGAAAACATCTTGAAACTTCACGGTCACCAGCAAAAAATGGCAGTTGGCAAAATGTGTAAGTTCAACTTTTCTAAAAAAAAAAAATTTATTAAAGTGTGTGTGTGTGGGGGGGGGGGGGGGTGCACATATTAAATAGGTGATAAAATTGTGAAAGTATTCATGTTTAGCTAATTTGTACGTGCACTGCTATATATTTTGCAGCTCATATAGATTTTTTTTCTTGTATAAGAATTTCAAAGTAATTAGATCTACATCTTTGTTTTGTAAATAACGCATTATTTAGATTACACGAATAGAAGAATTGAAATTTCTTAAATATTTGACTGTCAAAATTACGCGATTTGTCAGGAAATTCAAAATTTTGTCTCATTTTCCTACAAATTACAAAATGGTTACCATGGAAACAAAACAACTTTAGAAGATTATTTATTTAATCAGGTAAACCATATATTTTTATTTTTTATAGTTAAAATGATTAGATTAGCACTGATTTTGTCTTAAATGAAAAGTACGGGAAAAGTGATGATACACATGTATTGAGCTATCCATTATTATGATGTCATTATGACGTCATAGATGAGTAAATTTGCATTGGCATAAAATTTGCTTTGAAACAAATGATTGTATAGAGGAGTATAAAGGCTTATAACTTTTTTATTCATAGACCAAATTTCATGAATGATACATCAATGGACAGGAAATAATCAGTACTTTCTTGCATTACTACTTTCGGGGTATTTGTTAACTTAATTTTTTTGTCATTTCCGGAGAAACTATGAATTATAGGGTGAGGAATGGTCATATTTTGTGCGGAAATACATTAATTTTTTAAAATAAGAGAAACTGACCCATTTAAGTGCTTGATTATGATTTGACTAATTGTATTTAAAGTTATGAAGGAGAGTAAGAATGGTATAAATGTGTTAATAGGCTAACATTTGACTTAAAACTTTGGTGCAGTTTTGACTAGATTGGAGCATTTTTTAAGGATATTACACATAGAACTGTACATGCTGTAAAATCTTAATTAATGGTTGAATTTTCATGAAACTTGGCATGTTATCTGTACTTATGCTCTAGATTGACAAACAGTGTGAAATATTGTAAAATCTAAAAAATGCTTTTTCATATTGGGTACATCCCACTAATTATTTTTAGAATCGGTAGGAGAAGAAAGTAGCGCAGAAAAAATTACAAGTTCCTTAACTTGCAGACTTGCATAAAAAAAAATGTGCAGATGTACTAAACTGAGCCTCACACTTGTTGATAAGGAGTATCTTTCCTACCAAAAAAGTTTGGCAAATGTAATTCATCAAGAAGATCAGCCGAATTATTTTGTGTATTATAACGCCAGTTAGAACTCTGAATTTCCCCTACTTTCACTTTCATTTTTAGAGGTTGCCGCAGACAGACGCATTTTGCCGGAAAACGAATCTGACTTGCCACCTCGAGATTTTGACCAAGGAAAGACAAGTTGATGTGCTTTGATTTGAGGGGTCACTCACTGCTGAACGAAAATTAGGGACATCGCTTTGAGAAGAAACGTTAACGTTGTCGCCTATGGGAAAACAATTAGTGGACTGTACCCAAATATCTCATTGAATTCATTTCCATCCAGCGTTTTCGAGTTTATTTTGGGACGACGTATTAATCTTCGTTTATTCAGTTTTCTTGCTATTTAATTGCAGGCCGATTTGTCTTATTTTTCCGCTGCTAAAGAGAAATGACTCCCTAAAATTTTAAATGTATACATTATAGAACACTGTGTTTGCATAATAGAAGTGCATGATGTGTAGTAGACATAAAATGATAATTATCAGTTAAATTTTCCATGTTGTTGTTCATACATTTACAGGTATCCTGTCTTTGTAGCCTTGTGTTAGATGTTAGATCCGCCTATTTGTGGTTTAGGTGTCTCCATTGCTTGTCTGCCGTTGTGATGTTGTGATATCTCTACTGACGAGTAACATCTCTTTAGCAAAGTGTGTCGACCACCAGATAAATGTAACTACCACGGTATTTATTAGATAACAAGTCGCGGAATTCTGTAATTTGCAAACCTTTATTTTACCGAATAGACTCCTTATCTTGAGTTATAGTAAAGGTAAGGACGGACGTTAAGTGAATATACAATAAGTGCAGTCATTGTGAGTTTAATGCAAATGAATGGTGGGTTATTGAATGATTTTACATTTTTTTTTATTTTTATTGTATTTATTTTTATTTGTATTGGGGTGTTCATTTTTTTTAATTTTAGATGGAAGAAACAAAATCAAAGGTCACAGAAGAAAACAGTCTTTCCTCAAGGTAAGGATTAATTTTAAAGGATGCAAAGGATATCATTTAAAGAGATAATAACAATTTTTTGTTTGATGATGTTTAAGTTTAACGTAGTGCATTGATAATTTTATTTGATTCATTAAGGTCTTTTGTTTACAACAAAATTATATATCTACGTTATTAATAGATTTGTTTGGCTATTACGTTGTTTTCTTTAAACTTGATTCCAAATACAGAAGTAAATGTCCCTATAATTATAATCGATAATATTCGTTTTTTATCATTAGCAATCGTATGAAATGCTAGTTAACTAGAGCCGAGCTCATTGCAGGTCTTCCATCGGAGCTCCAAACAGAACATAACGGCCTTGAGTCAATGTCATGCAAAATTTTAATTTATCAACAATATTATAAGGGGGGATAGCTTTCATTGTTTCACTTTTTACCTAAATCGGCACTCATGCAGGGCCATTGAGCAGTGAGGAATCTTTTTAGTGCCAGCATCTGCTGGTCTCATCCGAAGGATCTTTATTCACGTCCCACAGTGAGATTGAAATATGTTACTCAAAAATCAACTCCGTGAATTTGGAGCAGACAGTTTTACACTTGGGCGATTATACTTTTTTGAATTTCACATTCTTAATATCAGTGAGCTTGAACTTAACCTAATGACCTATTTTTTTTAAGACATAAATAACCTTTGAAGCAAGTATGAGCTTCCAATGATACTCAATGACAAAAGTATAACGAAAAAAAACAATAGAAGTATTAAAACATTTATGCCCATCATCCAAATAATTGGAAGTCCAAGGGACATTATGCTGTCAAAAATAGATCAACCGTTACCAAAACAAAAAACTTGACCTATTTATTTTAATGATAAATCTATATATATCGATTTCATTTCAGTATGTGCATTTTCTCTAAGGAAAATGATCGGAAACTGCAAATAATGAAAAAAATTTTCAAATTCCAAGGGGCACAATTCTCTCAAAATGACTCATTTGTACCCTAACCGAAAATTTACCTAGATACCCTTATGGAAAATATGCATACCAAATTCAATTTCAATATGTGCAACATCTGCTAAAAAAAATGAACGGAAACTTCAAATAGTTGGATAGAATTTGTCTAGGTCCCAAGGGAATTAACTCTGTCAAAACTGGCCCAATTGTATTCAAAACAGAACTTGACATAGATATTCTTATAATAAATTTGTTCACCAAATAACATTTGAATATTTGCAACCTCTGCATGCGAAGAACATGAAAAGAAACTGTATACGAGGGGTTATCAAGAAGTTCGTGGACTGAGGCTATAAAATTAGTACTACGTAGTCTGTGGTCTCAAAATTTATAAGGAACATAAAACAACAAAATATAAAGAAATGTTGAAATTTTTAGCTTCAAACGTATATTATTAGCCACAATATAATAAAATAAAAACGACAATATATAATCAACAGGCGCTGTCGCCTTTAAATTTTATGACGTCCTTTTTCAAAGTCCGGTTCTCCTACCTCGTACACTTATCTTGGTGAAGTTTCCTGGAGTTGAATAAAGACTTGTTTGTATGTATCTACAATGTCATGAAAGGCTGTTTTTATTGCATATGGATTTATACATTGGGAGAGATCATTGCTTGATTGTGCCAGCACGAACAGTTTGCTTTTGAGTTCAATATCTACCACAAATAACCAACGTCATTTTTTGACGTGATTGACTGTTCAAATCTTGAGTACAAATCGACATAACAGTTCATTCCTTTTCTCGGAATCTATTTTAGTATTAAAAACAAGTCATCTGGATACATTTTATTTCCCTGTAGCCAGATTAAACCAGATTTTCTAGGTGTATAACATTTTTTTTTCAGGCGCAAAACTTTATAAAATGTTGGGGAAAAAACCCTCCCCCTTTGACGTCATTTTAAAGCCCTTAATTTTTTGGACACCACATACAAAATGTACGATAAATTTTATAGAACTTGCCGAATGATGTAAAAATTGCTAATTTTACGGACTAATACCGTACCATCACAAACCTGATTTAATGGGATTGTTCATAACAAAGAAGTTTTCCTCAGTAATACCAAGGGCAAAAAATAATGTTATTTTTTCTATAAATATAGTTGCACAAGTACGTATTTTTTAAGGTATGCAAATACGAGGATTGATTCAAGAGTTTTTAGCTCACCTGAGCCGAAGGCTCAAGTGAGCTTTTCTGATCAAAATTTGTCCGTCGTCTGTCGTCGTCGTCGTTGTTGTCGTTGTCGTAAACTTTTCACATTTTCATCTTCTTCTCAAGATCCGCTAAGCCAATTTCAACCAAACTTGCCACAAAGTACCCTTGGGTGAAGGGGATTCAAGTTTGTTCAAATGAAGAGCCATGCCCTTTTCCAAGGGGAGATAATTATGAATTAGAGAAAATTTCATGGCATTTTTTAAAAATCTTCTTCTCAAGAACCACTGGGCCAGGAAAGATGAAACTCATGTGGAATCATCCTCAGGTAGTGTAGATTCGTGTTTGTTCAAATCATGACCCCCAGGAGTAGGGTGGGGCCAAAATGGCCGATCAAAGTTTTACATAGGAATATATAGAAAAAATCTTTAAAAAATCTTCTTCTCAAGAATAGCAAATCCATAATTGATCATATTTATATGAAAGCATCCTCAGGTAGTGTAGATTCATGTTTGTTCAAATTATGACCCCCGGGGGTAGGGTGGGGCCAAAATGGCCAATCAAAGTTTTACATAGGAATATATAGAAAAAATCTTCTTCTCAAGAACCACTGGGCCAGGAAAGATGAAACTCATGTGGGATCATTCTCAGGTAGTGTAGATTCAAGTTTGTTCAAATCATGACCCCCGGGGGTAGGGTGGGGCCAAAATGGCCGATCAAAGTTTTACATAGGAATATATAGGAAAAATCCTTTAAAATCTTCTTCTCAATAACCACTGGGCCAGGAAAGATGAAACTCATGTGGGATCATCCTCAGGCAGTGTAGATTCAAATTTGTTCAAATCATGACCCCCAGAAGTAGGGTGGGGCCAAAATGGCCGATCAAAGTTTTACATTGGAATATATAGAAAAAATCTTTGAAAATCTTCTTCTCAAGAACCACAGGGCCAGGAAAGATGAAACTCATATGGGATTATCCTAAGGTAGTATAGACTCAAGTTTGTTCAAATCATGACCCCCGGGGGTAGGATTGGGCCAAAATGGCCGATCAAAGTTTTACATAGGAATATATAGGAACAATCTTTAAAAATCTTCTTCTCAATAACCACAGGGCCGGGAAATATGAAACTCATGTGGAATCATTCTCAGGTAGTGTAGATTCAAGTTTGTTCAAATCATGACCCCCAGGAGTAGGGTGGGGCCAAAATGGCCGATCAAAGTTTTACATAGGAATATATAGGAAAAATCTTTAAAAATCTTCTTCTCTAGAACCACTGGGCCAGGAAAGATGAAACTGATGTGGAATCATCCTCAGGTAGTGTAAATTCAAATTTATTCAAATCATGACCCCCGGGAGTAGGGTGGGGCCAAAATGGCCGATCAAAGTCTTACATAGCAATATATAGGAAAAATCTTTAAAAATCTTCTTCTCAAGAACCACTGGGCCAGGAAAGATGAAACTCATGTGGAATCATCCTCAGGTAGTGTAGATTCAAGTTTGTTCAAATCATGACCCCTGGGGGAAGGATGGGGCCAAAATGGCCGATCAAAGTCTTACATGGCAATATATAGGAAAAATCTTTAAAAATCTTCTTCTCAAGTACCACTGGGCCAGGAAAGACGAAACTCATGTGGAATCATCCTCAGGTAGTGTAGATTCAAGTTTGTTCAAATCATGACCCCCGGAGGCAGAGTGGGGCCAAAATGGCCGATCATAGTTTTACATAGGAACATATAGGGAAACCTTTTAAAATCTTCTTTTCAAGTACTTCAAAGCCAGGCTTCGTTATATTTATAGGGAATCATCCTCAGGTAGTGTAGATTCAAGTTTGTTCAAATCATGACCCCCGGGTGGGGTGTAAAATTCAAGCCCCCCCCCCCACCCAGTTTACTTTCAGTTCTGATCTGATCTGGGGTTTTTTCCTAGCCAATTGCTCAGGTGAGCGATGTGGCCCCTGGGCCTTTTGTTCTTTTTCCTTTTGGAATTTCTTTTTAAACTTTATCGCGATTTGATGAAAGCGAACAACAGGCATATTTATAATA